CACTCACACCTACAGGGAATTTAGAGTTTCCAGTTAACCTATCATAACTAACTGCATGTCTTTGGACTATGTGAGGAAGCTGAAGTACCCGGAGAGAACCCACTCAAACATGGGGAGAAGAACTCCACACAGAAAGACCCCTGATGGTGGAACTGAACTCAGGACCTTCTTGCTGTGAGGCAACAGTGCTAACCACCGTGCCAATCTTCTAATACACCGTTTCCTGTAAGAGTGGACCTTAATGACCGCGTGCACTTGGCTAAAATACAACTTTTATGGTGCGTCGGGTCAGTACACCAAGTACAAAGTACAAACCCATATCTTTTACAGAACATCAGATGACACATACTGAGTAGTGATAGCTGCTCATTTGTAACTTGGACCCACTCCTCGCAGAGTGCCTGGTTGTCACAGTGAAAGGTGACCTCACTACACCGCCACTGGTGCTGTTGTGTCCTTCGCACATAGGAAACTGTAAAGAAACAAAACAGAACACTCCAGAGACCACTTATCAACAAAAATCAGAGACGAAAGATGCTTTTATCATTCCCATAGAGCATCTTATCAGACAAATGCCTCCAAATGTGCTAAACAAAGCCTCTGATAATGTCTTCTTTTCACATCGTTTTGCCTTGCTTAAAGTCATAATCATAAAATACCCTGATCGCTTGTGACCTATAGTTTATTTAGGTATTTTTTGCCAATTCCTACTTTTGTCGTTTACAATATTACCTGGCTTTGGCACAGTGGGGGCTTGCCCTGAGAATAAACCCGGGCTTTATCCTTAACACACAGATTATTCAGATATGCGCTTATGTCAGAAATGAAAGCATGAAGAAATTAGTTTCCTAAATCAAACAGGGCTGTGCTCATAATCAGACACACACACACAAAAGTAGAGACAGAGTCCCATAATATCCTGCTAGGAACATTACTGAAATATTTACATTAAGAAGCAAAAATTCACTCACTAAGCACTTTGACAGCAGATTCACTCGCTAAGCATTTCAAAGTGAAATTATCACACTAAGCATTTTCTTCATCAGATAGAAAAGTTAACTTTTCAGGAAAGTTGTGCTGTCCAAATCGCTAACCGTACCTCGTACTCACCATGGGGTATGCAAAGAGACGCTCAGAGTGGGTGCAAAATTATCCTTTAATATGTTACATAATCAGGATGTAAGTGATGGGGTGCGTCTTTGAAGCCAAGTTTCCACAGACTGTGGAAATGCAGTCGTGTCAGACTCGACGCACTTCATTGCCAGTAAACGCTCACATTAGTGAGGTAATTTTTAACATTTGGCTGCGATACATAATGTAAATCCGATCTTGTTTGGATATAATCTAATGGCTCCAAATCAAGCATTAGCCCCAAAGTCGCTGGCATGCTGCCATCTTAGACCCAGTCTGCTAAGCTGTGAGGGACTCTCTTGTTAATGCATTACTTTCTGACTATGGAGCTGTCTACAGGCTTATTCCCAGTGTCACATCACTTGCGACTTGTGGCACTAAACACAGCCTCTTGGCACGCTTAACCAAAGTGCAACTGTAATGTGGCATTAACATACTATAGGAAATTCAAGGTGACATTGATATAGACTGGCCTCAGGTTCAGTTGCTGGAAGAAGCAACAGAGGTTAAAGTGGCTACTTTATCAGTTTAGTTTTTACTTTAATAAGACTGAGACATAGGATAGAAACAAAAATGCTACATTTTTTACTTTGGGCTTTGCATAACTTTTATAAAACTAGTGATAATGAAGTGCTTCTGTAAATGTCATACCTGTGAATGCAAAGGGATACAGCTGTTTTGTCTTTTTTTGATGTTTCCCAGTCTGTGCAGCGTCTTGGTCATCGTCTTCTGTCTTGCGGACAGCAACAATTTCACACACCTCAACAGAATAGCTGTGAACTGAAATGACATGAAATGGCTCTTTTAGTTCACTCCATTCCACAATGACCAAAGCACACAAAACTTATACACAAAAGCATTCTGTAATCTATAAATCTCCAGTAATCAGTATCTTTTGTTTTTCTTCATATGGACAATAGATCCTGAAACTAAGTGGTCTGTGGAAGGGGTCACTCTGAGCCAAGCCGACAACGAATAATCATTCAACTGCAATTCCCCTCTACACCGTTGAGAATGTGGCACATCGATATTTTAGTTTTATTGTCCACTCCCTTTATTGTTGCTCTTATCAGCCCCGTTTGCCAATGTAACGTGCAGGTGTTTTGTCAGAAAGCCCTGATAAGCCTATTGTATGCTCCCTGCCCAGCACCAAGCAACTGAAGTTAGTAGCTGGTTAAGAAATTAGAGCATTTAGCAGCTAAACAGCCGGATGTATCCAAATGGCAAACTGGGAATATCTGGAAACAGCAGCATTTCCCTTACTGGTTTTTTGAGGCTGCCTCACCAAGCCTCAAGTGGCCAATCCCAGTCTGCACTGAAACATAGCATGAAGTCCACCCTGCAAACCGTGGTCCCCATGTGAGTCGCAAACGAAGACCTCATCGTTCAGCAACTTGTGACTGACAAGTTGGAAGTCAACAAGCATGCAGCCTCATGTTGTGTCTCATTATATATAAAAAAAACAAAACAAAGATGGACAAAACAACAAGCCTCAGCCTGAACATCCATAACAGGACCCCACCAAGCAACGAGAATGCCACAGGTGCCACGTCTGTCCTCTGATGATCAGAAATTAAAACAAAGAATGTAACCGTTTGTCTCCTCGAAGAAATTTTAGTTTGTTTGATGTAAATGTCCTGTATATTCACATGTTTAAATACTCAAATTTAGAGGAGAAACAAACACATCAGCGCATTTGGTATCTATAGCAAATTGCAACATTTATGAAAAATGCACTTTTATATTACTCACTCATTTAAATTACCTCAGGCAGTAAGACTTGAGGTTGTGCATCCTGGGTTTGAGTTACATTTTGTCAGAAGACTAATTTTTGGTAACCACATTAGCATTCCATTCAATCTCCAGCTACATCATGGATACACCTTGCAAAGCAGGTTCATTATCCATTGCCAGCATTAGCTGATAATACTGCCATTCAACTCGTCTTATTCCACTGTGGAAATGAACAAAGTGCTTGAGTCAATAACCCGAGTCATCTTTTATCCTCTCTATAAACTGGTGGAGACTAAAACAGACGGGAGTGAATAAGCATGCTGGATAAATCACTCTGTATACTTGCTAATTTTTCCTCTTTATTTCCAAGCACTGCAATAATTTCAAGTACAGAAATGTTTTCAGATGTAAGCCTAATAACTTGTAATCATACATCAGTGGGTTGTTTTCATTTCCCACTGCAAAAATAAACAAACAAATAAATCAGCAAGCTTAGATTTCCCTCTAAAATGTCAAAACTGTTGGATACTGTATCCAACAATTCATTTCACAAGGAGCAAAATGAATGGGAATAACACTGTCATGTCCCAAGAGAGGTTGTGAGTGTTTGGGAAGGAAATACATCCCTTTGTTAATGTGTCCCATAAGTGTGAGAATGAGGTTTAACAAAATTTTCTGAGCACAGTGTGACCTGGTACCTCCTGGCAGTAACAAGACGGGGCAGCTCAGCTGACTTGAAGGGCTCCTAAGTGACATTAAAGAACCCTGCGTTGAAAAGTGGTGTTAAAGGATTTGTCGGTAATGCATTCATCCATCCTCACATCCTTACTAATATGAACACTTATGTGACAGACAATGCAATATAATCCTTAAAAATCATTTTAAGAAGGTGGAACCCGGTGCTGGGAATTTGATGCCTAAATATTGCCAGGCCTGACGAGACAAATTTCCCTTTGAACCATTTCATTATTTAAATATTCAAATCCCGAGCATGGCTACTAACAGAACAAATTCAGCTGTGCACTTTTGTACTATGGAAGGACAATATTACTTGCATTGAGTTTTAAGTGACCTGTTCAACTGCGTCACATACAGGCATCCCAGTCTCTCCTACAAATTTATTCAGCTGATATGGTGAAATGGATGGGAGGGAAGCATGACATATTATTTCTCCCCTGGGAGTCTGAGGGAATAGGATTTCATTTCTTTTTCAAATAAAGATGATACGCCATGCAGGCATGAATAACTTTATGGCCATCGATATTCACACTTTGACAAATAGGAAGAAGAGTTATGGCCATGTGGGTAATGGCTTTATTTCAGGGGAAAAAAAACTATTTGAAAAATAGCACCTAGTTCTCCTGCCAAACTGATTGTTGGTATTGAATTAAAATACATAATGAATTTCTAAAAGTTTTATATTCCATTT